CTAGAGTTCTTATTAGAACCATACCTCTTCCAAGGGAGATCTCTCCACATGATGTAACCACAAGCCCTGTTTTTAATCTCGACCATGTAAAGCGTCAAGTCTTATTTCATGAAGTTGAATACTTAGGGCAGTTATGCTTCCTTGTTCCCCATTTGTAAGTTGGTCTTGTAATTGGATGGTTTTGCAGCAAATTTGGCTCTATATAAGGCCTAATCCAAACTAAGCTTTTGCCTGTGATTTTAGGGTTGGTAAAAATCAACTGATCTTGTTGTCATTTTGTTGAACATATCCACTGAAGAATGTTGCATTCTGATATTCCTACATTCAAGAGAACTATACACAAATGAAGGAGAAAGCTTGGGTCAGTCATTATGTCTGCTAGTAATCTTCTCCCTCTTGTACTTGTTAGTCAATCTGTTTTAGTTGTTAGTTTGGCCTGTGTATATGACGATAGTCTTCAAATGGTCGAAAGGTTTACCTTGGTTAATCGTGATGGGTACCATATCTTCAATTATTCTTATTTATTTGACCATCACAAGAAAAAACAAAGCAAAATTAAACAAAAATTATGTAAAAAACAACAAAAGCACAAATACAGGTAAATATAAGCAGTAGCAGGGACCAGGGATGAAAATCCGAATACATAACGAGACAAATATCAGTTATGCGGGTCAGCAGGGACTGCAAAAGTAAAATAAACTACTATTACCCCCGTTTATGCTCATATCTTTAACAAGACAAATAAACCAGAACAAAGGAAACAGTGGTCCCCACACATGTGATCAAAATGACAGCCCAAAAAAGAGAAAAAAAATCTTAGGAGAATGTTTCATTTCCATATTTCCAAACGTAAGAAAATTATCCGGCAAAGTGAAGGCCATGCTATAAGAAGAATTTTTTTACTCGTTCTTTTTAATCATGTGAATTTACTCATTTAAAAAATATCCAGTTTTAATCAAGTCCTCTGTGCCCTCTTTTTGAGGTGATTTTATTGGCTTGTTGGTAATTTTGTTTTTTTGTCATTTATTATTCATGTGATGTCTTTAATCGTAAAATCATGTCATCCAATTAAACATTTGTCTGTGATTTGTTTACGCCTGTACTCAGTACCACAATTATGGCCAAGATTTGGACTCTAGCACCGTGCTTATCTGTTCTACTAGTTAGTCTTCTGCTGCTGGTTGAACAGTGATACGCTCCATGCTGTGACATGCTCAACCTCTCTCATCATTTTCTTATCTTGTCTGTTCTGGAATAGCATGAATAAATTCAGGGTGCAGTATCTGTTGTATACGTGCACTGAGCCTTTTATGGGCAATAAAAGTAACAACAGCATGATTTTGATTCCCTCAAGATAACAGAACTGGTTATTTGCAACTGTTGCAGTGACCGTTTGTCTTGTGTTGGCAGCAAAAGGTTTTGTTGAAAGGTTCCTACTTTGCATGGTTTTTCTGTACCATCTGGTGTACCTCAAGGAAGTGTCTTGAGCCCAGTCCAGTTCTTATGTATACAAACGACTTTCCTGATCGCATCGTGTCAGCTAGCACTTTATTTGGCAACAGTGCTCTTGTGTATAGGCCAATATAATGTCAGTTTGATGACCTTCAAGATATTCATGACTTCCAAAGATGTTGTCATGCTAATAAAATGCATCTCAATACATTACAAAGGAAACCAAAGTTTTGCTTATACTAGGATGGTCAAAGAAAATAGTGGACCTGAAATGTACCTTAGTTAACATGCAGGTTGAAGCTGATAATGAGTACAAAATTTCTCGGGAAAATCTTGTTATGCCACTACCAAAT